TATATATATATTTTTTTTTTTTTTAATATATCTCTTGCACACGTGTTAGTCAAGTTACACATTGGAGAGAAGAGTAACGTGACTCTTCTTTACAGGCAAAATGTCTAAATTATAGACGAGTAAAATGCTAAATCTATTTCAAAAAAGAGAAATTTGTTGATAGACAAGTGATAAATGAAAGTATATCTGTCGATGAAATTGACTCCGGTTCTGTGTACGTGGCAATAACTTGAGATAAGCCTCTATCTGTAGATGTGGAAAAGACCGCTATAAATAGCGTAAAATAGAAGACAGAATTATAGCAGATTTTTGAATGAAACATTTTATCATCAGAGTCACAGAGATATTATATACTTATATCGATATAGATGATGTATAGAATAATCTCACTAGTTTCGAAGAGTATAAACATATCCGTCCTACATTTATTTAATTCCTCTCATTCAATTTCTGTTATTGTTGAATATGCAACAGCCCTTTCTTTTTTTTCTCGGAGTGTTAATGCATTAGATAATAATCGTTTATCTGCTTCTTCCCGAGGAAAAATAGACATGAGATCATATATGGCCGTATATGATCTTATTAAATTATATAAATTTATTTTTTCTCGGATTGCCATTATTTTCTAAATGTTTTCTAGTCTCACCGACTGTAGCGTGGCCTGACTAATTGAAATAAATCAAAAATTTAGTGTAATAAGCTCGGCAAAAACCCGACAAATTCCAAAAGATTAATTGCTACGCTCTAACTAAAATTTAACAAAAATTTCATCTAATATTTTTTTTACACTGTTATGTGAAATTTAATTAAGCAAAATTCTTTCTTCTTATCATAATTGCTTTGATTTTTGTTATAGACATACGAACATTGCGTAATGTTAGCAGTAAAATGTTGCAAAGTTAGATTAATTCTTTCGTAAAGTTCTTTCAAATGTTATCACGTGCCGGTTAATCGCGTGCAATTAAATTTTTCTTCCTGCAGCGGACGAGGGGCCAAAACGCGTGATAGAATTAAAGTGCATTGAGAAATTACGATTGTATTAAGAGACTCATCGATCAATCACGTGAATAAAATCAATCGGCCATAGTCCAAGAACTTTATAATATATTTGGACTTGCTCATCGCTTCTCCAGCGAATGATCAACGACTAAAGCATTCCTCGAGCTTAAACTCGAGGGAGATTAATGCCTGATCCGTGTGTTTATTCACGTGGTTCGATTATTTCATCATCTAGAGAGCTCTCTTTTAAATTAATACTGGCCTTTCCTTCTTATATGATACATGATGCGAGAGACCACGATTCTCTAAAAATTTAAGAGGAACAAAGAATAAACAAAGCAACGTCGACATTTAGAGCGGCGTGCATCTTATTACGCTTGAAATACAAGAAATCTTCTAAATATATCGGTATAAGTAAGAGAGATTAATTATAATAGTTTGATGAGTCTCTCGACAATTGCGCGAAATCGAATGGGGAATAGAATGATAAAGAGGAGTTTTAATAATACTGTACTCGACCAATATTATATTAATTCTTAAGCTAAAAGTACATACAATGAATCCCTTGCCTCCCTTAAGTCTACCTTTCTACTTCTCTCGAAACAGAATACGTCCGTATATTGTTCGTAGATATCATTAGTCTCGATTATTGTAAATCTCGGCGAACGACGAGGCACATGCTCGCCACGCCATGCAGTTGACGCTGATCGTTTCTAAGTGTCTTACCACGGATTTATAATGATCGTACATTTTCTCTTTAAATTTATTTTCTAGCACAATTTAATACAGAGAAGAATGTGTACATAACCGGCAACTTCAGCACCATGTCCATTCGATGTGATGTAATGAAATGTAAACGTATAAATATATATATATATATATATAATGAGAGATATATTAATATATTACACAAAGATACGTCACATTTATGATTAGCATTCTATTTTCTCTCTCTCTCTCTCTCTCTCTCTCTCTCTCTGCATAATTCTACAGAAAAATAAAGAGATACTAGATTACTTAAACGCTACTGATTGAACTTGGAAAAAACAAATGCGATGACGTATAAGAAAATAATTTAATCAGCATAATTTACCAAGTTTTATTTTTTTTGCAGACAAGATCAACTTGATTCTATAAATAATCTTTGGGAAATATGATTTGTTCCAGTTTTGTTTTGTAATTTTATATTTCATATTTTTCAAATGCAGTTATATATTGGTAAGTAAACATTGCTGAGAAATACAGTTATTTTATTTAACATTAAAATAATGACTACAAAATATTCTACCTTGTATTCTTACAAATTTTCTATAGCGATATGAAACTTAGTATCGCGATTGTGAAAAAATTTACATGTGAATATAAAAGTATTTCTGTTTCTATTTCTTTTCTATTACTCATTTTTTTTATTTCCCAGGAAGTTAAATAATATTTGAATCTTCTTTTAATTCCATCTGTTTTACAGGAAAGCGTGACCGTTGAAAACTTCAGAAAGAGGCCAGGTTTAATGCAGCATACGTGCTATTATTTTCCGTATGGTCTTGGATTCTTCGTAGCTAAAGCTTCGTGTGGAGTTATCACGACTTCACATATCTGAAACAGATAAACCACTATTGTATGCGTAATTGGTACAGAATGATACTTAACTTAAACCGAGAAGAGTTCTCGTACGAGTAATATTTTATTTTAAAATAACATTCTACAAATATTCAAATTAAAGATTGACACATTTTTGACACAGAATACCAGCTATAAATATTAAATAGAGTAATATAAAATTAAATCATACGCAATTTGCCGATAATAAAAAAAACACAAAGATTTTTTCTTGCTGATTTATGTGTAACGAAGGATTTAATTAGAGATTTTATAAAAACACACATAGATATATGTATATCGAAGTCATTAAATTATTTCCTAAATAATATCTGCATACCTGCACACGGTGCGGCACATTTAAACTATAAATCACTGCATCTGCGATATCAGTGCTCTCCAGTATCGGTATGCCTTCCAAATTTTCACTTAAGCCAAGCTCGCCAAAGGCGGTTTTTAACATCTCCGTGTTTACCATGCCAGGACTGATGCTCTGAATTATGGAGATTACACAGTATATTTTCAAGTATATTATTTTATTATTATTATTTCAAATCCAACTGTCCTATCACATTGCGAAAAAAGGCATCGTTATCAACAAACGTAATCGTTTAAATCATTGTTAGTGCAAGTTAAATTATAAGCGAGATAAATGGATACTTTTTTTCGTTCGACTAATATTAAATTAGCATTGATAAATTTAATACGGAAAGATCGCATACCGTGACTTTTATATCAAGCTTTGCGTTTGTTATTTCATTGCGTAGACTCGTTGACATTCCAGTGACAGCATATTTACTGGCGCAATATAAACTTACTGCCATATTGATGGTCTCTGCATAATGGCCAGCTATACTGTGGATGAGACAAAAAATTAGTTAACAATACAAGATAAATTTGATTTTTTTTTGCGAAAGTGAATAGTAACATTGACATAAATTACGTCTCAGTTAACTTTATTTCTTTATATGTTTGTTGACACACATATTTATAAATAATATATCTATAAAAATATACATTACATAGATATTTATTTCAATCATCATTTCTTATTTATTTCAATACGATTACAATGAAGAGAGAATGAATCAGGATCGCGGCATTAATGTATCGTTAATTCGTATTTATCAATATTCAACGACTCAAATCTCTTTGTTTAGTGAAAAATTTTAAATAATTTTAATATAAAATAAAAATGTCGGCATTCACAGATGCATTTTTATCAGAGTAAATAACTAATAATTTTAGCTGTAAGAGTTTTATATAATTTTGTTAGATCATACATATCACACTCGCATACCACAGATATTTTGCATACAAAATATTCAAATTTTTTGATTACACAATTTCAGCTCCATAAAAAGGCTAAATTACACGATAAGGGTATGTAGATTATTAATAAATAAAATTGTATAGTCTTTTTTGCAATCAGGTTCTTGTATTTATATTTTTTTTCCACGACAATATACATCAACTGCAAGTTTGAAACTGTATTCATAAACATATTCCAAATTTTATAATGCCTACCTGTTAATATTAATGATATGACCTGCAGCCTTGCGCTTTTTGACAGATTGTACCAATTCTCGCGAACAGATCGCCATCGCAATCACATTTACATCCATAATTTTGCGGTAAGTCTCTGTTGATCCCTCTTTCAATAAAAAATGTGTGGTAATTAATATATGTAGCTTATGTATACATATATATATATATATTTAAAAATAATTTGAAATATTGCACAAAGTATCGACATAAGGTATATCCTAATCTTACGCATGTTTTGGGAAAATTTTACAAATAAACAGCGTTTTCGAGAAGAAGAATGGAAAAAGAAAGAGTATGTACCTACCTATAATCGGCTCGTTAGAGAGTACGCCAGCGTTATTGATCAACACATCAACACCACCCAATTCTTCCTCTGCCCGTTTGAACACCTTGAGAATTTCCTCTTCTTGTCGGACATCGCATGTCATCGGATAGACTTCGCCATTAAATTCACTTTTGATACTCGCCGCCAATTCCTTCAGCTTTTCCAGTCTTCTCGCGACGGCGATTACTTTCATTCCATTCTTCGCAAGCGCTCTCACAATTTGCTCGCCTATCCCGGAGCTCGCTCCGGTGACTAAAGCGACTTTTCCTTCCCAACGATCCATCACGGTAGAAATCTCACGAAAGACTGTTAAGAGACTGCTCATGGATCGCGCTTTGGTCTCTTTTCAACGTTTACCCTCACCAACGTCAATCGCAAACAATACTGCTTGTTGTTAGCCAATGAATTGAAAGAGATACCGACTGTTTAGAACGGCCTGGGTAGGCAGAACCATCAATGTGAAAAATCGGCATTGATTTGATCGGCTTTATTTTCGCACGCGGCTAATTGTAAACAGAGATTTCGTGTTAAGATATTTATTTATAGATTTTCTAAATTTTCAAGCATTTCCAAATGGCCTACTTTATCTATGAGGTTGTTGTCATGTTGCCAATGATTATTGCCAATAATATAAGTGTTGACACAGCAACATGATTATACATTTGTTTAAATACTTTTTGATTACTTTGTGAACAGTTTTTCAATTTTTTTTTTATAATGGTATGTTCTTTGCTGATAAGGATAATGCGTGCGATAACAAGTATATTGTAATAAAAATATTGAGTGACTGTGAAGGACACAGTTCTAGTCTTGCGTGCTTCGGCATAATCGTAAATTGCGCTAAATCATCATATAAAATAATATCTTGCATTTTCCGCTTATATAAGAGTTCGCATGAATGACTTATTTACTTCGTTTATAACGAATTGTTTAACCAATGAATTTATTGCAGGCATCTTTATACAAGTACATTATATTATATTCTTCATGTATATATGTAATAGGTGCATTTGGCAAAATTAAACAAACTTAAAATGATATTAAGAAGAAAAAAGAGATATCTAAGACATTGTTATAGATTATTTCACACTTTTATAACACTTTATTCTATAGATCCAATTTTTGTTGCGTTTGTATAAATTTTCCTAAATTTATATTCTTTAAAATGTCGATGAAAAGAACCTGTCAACGTAAATTTCATCATGAATATAAATTTCTGTATGTGATAACATCCCATGATATGTCCAAATGTATGTGATAACATACAGAAATTTATATTGATTTGACTCGCATATCCGTAATGACAATAGTAAAGTAGTTTTAAAATAGACTATTTTTATCATTATGTAATTATAATGCAAGATAAATACTCGTCAAAATGTCTTATCTCTCAAGTGAATGACACATCTCTATGATACATAACTTGTAGTTATAGATAAAGTGAAAAATCGTGAAAAGTGATAAGATGCGATACAATTTATACCAAGGAATCATTTTATATTATATGAATCAAAAATATCACCTTATGTGCACCGAAAACAAGTCTAACAATAAATGTTAAAACGTCAATTTGATTAAATCATAACAACCCGATTAATATTCTGACTAGTATTCTGTTTTAGTTTTCTTCTGAATTATTACCATCATATGCGATTGAGTATCATCGAAAGAATACCCGATCTCAAGTATTTGTTTATACCGTGCATCGATTTACATTCGGTTGCTTCTCGTGCGTTTCATGTCAGTTCCTTTTAGAAAGATGACAACTTGCAAACGGCTTATGTTGCAAAACTAAATTCTTGCGGATGGGGATGAGAGAATGCCGAATGTGGATTATCGAAAAAATTCCGAGTTAAAAAGCAGATGACACAACGACGGAGGTCGCAGTCAAAGCGGTGAACGATAACGGGTAGGGAGGAAAGATTTTGAATATCGCTGATGATGCTGCTCTGAAGTGTCCTTCCTACTGAATTTCTACCTTTAACTCGCTTTCTCGTTCCGCTTTCCTTCTTTTCCGATCTCGTGTCTCGTGTCATGACTGCGGCTTACGATCTCGGAGCGCATTTGTTTTATAGCAAGGGTGAACGGAACATTCAATCCATCTGTGCCAAAGATCCGCGATTCCTCTCTTAGTACAGAAAAAAAAAACCAAAGTTAATTTAATTATTATTATCGCGCGCATATAAAAGTTTTAATATTTCATATTTACTTTTTTCTATATAGATCTAGGCCGATAACGCAGATATTATTTACACGCTATTTTCTTATTAAATGTGTATGTACGCTCTTTATTTTTTAAGCTATCGTTTAAACAATATATATTCAAAATTTTTCAAGATTGAAAAGAAATTCTTTTAGACTTTTTGTTATTAAATTTTTTAAACGGTGATTAACTCACACTCTCCGATGCGTGACTTTTTGAATTCATAGAGATTATGAGATAGCCAATGTAAATAGAAAAAGTAATTAATAGCGGCAAAACAACGCGAGCCATTCGACCGCAATGAACTTGAGCGGTATAATGAGAGTAAGAAATGGGTGACTCGTAGAGATTAGATTCGGATAGGAAACGATAGCACAGAGATTTCTGCTCACGGACGAGGGATTAAAGATCTACGAGTGGCCCGCTTGGGATTAAAGTTGGATTATACCGGCAAACGCGCGATATGGATAACCGGGAGCTGAGAAATATATGTTACGAGTCTGATTGTTAGAAAAGTTTTTCTGCAATTATGTTTTACTAATCGTTTATATACGCTTGTCATCTTTGTATAAAATTTTTTTTTTTTTTTTTTTTTTACACAACAAAAGAATATAAATAATTATATAAACGAGTATATAGAAGAGAATAGCACGTACACGCTCACACACTATAGATATACATATAAAGTGAATGAGGTATTTTTAGAGACGAACTAGAAAATGTGATGATGACCAAGAATGTAGGACGTCTTTTCCGGTGCACATCGTTGCGCTTACCTCACCGTTCCAAACCGCATTATCATACTATTCGAGATTGGTATTGCTGTCCGAGACACGATACGATTCATGAAAAGAGGATATCCCCAAAGTTCCGGAGAAAAGCGCGATACTATGCGCCGTCTTCGGGTAGAAAGTTTCATTCGCTTTCTCAAGTTCGACATGTGGGTATTGCCTACCTTTCACTTTACATATAAATTTGCAAGCTTGAAGATATAAAAAAGATACTTTTTAACGATAAAAGACAAGAATTTATATAATTTGACTCAATGATTAAATTTTTTATGTCTCGTGTATATCGATTTTCTGAAAGATTTTCTAAATCTTAATGTAAAATAACATGTATGGCATATAAAGTTTTTCAGTGGACGGTTTAAATTTGAATATATGGGATAAATGATTGATAATTAAAATTTTGAATTAAAATTATGCAAAATTTACTTATAAGCAATTTATTAGTTTAGTGTTTGGTTGTCTAAAAGTCAATATATAATAATGTTTCGATATTTTAACTAAGCAGAAATATATTTTACAAAACGATCATTGAAATTAAAGTTGAGCTTTTATGGGCCACATGTAGCGGGGCGAAATAAATTTTGTATTGACGACATGACAGGATGTGTCGCGCATCCTGTTTGGAAATGCCGGAAATTGTGAGCACTGCTAACAAATATGGTCCCCTAACTAAGACACCTCCGATGACGGAAGCTCCCGATTGTCTCAAGTAATCCGTGTCGATCTTTTTACTTCCGATTTTGGATAAACGCGGGGGCGAGCGATTGCCACGATCACGAAGACATCGCGAAATTGCGAATGTCGCGCGATATATCTTTGTGACATTTTTATTTAAAAATAATCAGGATTCGTTGCTCAAGATAAATTGTTTCAATTATTCTCCGAATTTTGATCTTTTGCGTTTCAAAAATTCTGAAGATGACAGTTTATGTTATTATATCGCTACTACATTACATTAATGCATGTATGTATGTATATATATATACTGTTGCAATCTTATAATAATCAGCAGTATGTATACGAGTGTGTGCATAAATACGATCGTGAAATAAATAATCGTTGAATGATACGATTGTAAAACGATTTGCATTTAAATGTACACAGCATACAAATATGTTATTATGTAACCTTGTAGCAATAACGCGCAATAAAATGTTGAGGCGTTTATTTTTCTCCGTCGTATCCTTTCATAGCAAACTACATATTTAATCATTTAAAATTCACTCATGACTCACTCATGACTATTTATCGAATATTAAAGCACACATACGTCGCTCTGCAATGGAGAAAAATTCTCGAGGACTCTCATTCACGAAAGATTGACATGCAATTAAATCATGTCCGATACGATTCTCGCACATCGAAAGTTGTAGAATCTGTTGTTATCGCGGTAACCAAGGCCGATAAAATTTCGCGATCCCGCCGTTAATATAATTATATTGTAGTATAACATTGCATAAAATACACTGATGTAGCACAATTTTACGAGCAAATGTCCGTTTTGCATCAAATGATGTATATTTAATATTTACGTATCTACGTGAGATTCATGGAAAATATCTACCATTCGTCGCTACGTATTGTACAAGAGTTACGGAATGACAGAAAAATATGTATGTAATATGTGCACCTATGAGGTATCCCTACGCAGGGATATTCCGTTGTAGAAATGATCCTCCCGGGACGATGGGCGCAGCTTTGCTATGAATGGGTCTCGTATGATCATTTTGCGAGAACGAATGGTGGTACGCACTTTTGTTGAAAGCCCGATATAAAGTGGCCTCCACTTTCCTGTTTTCTTTGTTATATATATTTTGGCGCAATTATTTCATCCGAAACTTCATATTAGCTCGGTCGGACTAAACCTGATCTTTATTGCTAGTAAAACGTAGTAAATAAGCAGAAAATAAAGTAGAAGAGTTATAATGTGTGTAAGCATTTGTTTTTATTTATATACATATATATAATTATACTTGAAATAATTTATACTTTTAACGTTTTAATATTTTTATATTGTAATGAATTTAATATAATTCTAATATAATAATATATTTTTAAAAAATAGAGACATTTTGATGATATTATTAATTTTTAAACATTAAGTTAAAAATTGAAAGCGCTATTTGTTAGAATTTTTTTATCCATAAATGTATTCTTATACAAAGTACATTTTATTTTAGGTATAGGAAAAAGAAACGCATACGACACACGACGGAGAACAAATTCGTGGATAATTCTGATCATCGATACGCGTCAACTTAATCGATGGTGAAAAACGGCTTTGCTGATATTTTTGGCAGACAACGGGTGACGGTAATGTTGAATGCGTTTCAGACAAGCGAAGGACATGGTTTACTTTCTATATGGATCTATTTGCTCGCAAACTTATACGCTAGCTATATACTTGAAAATAGACAAAATTTTTCTGTTCTCTTTAAGGGAAAATGGTCATTAATCTTAGATAATTCTTTTTCACTCATTGTTTTTGTAGAACATTTTCGTAGAACATTTGTGTCAAGCGAAACTATTACGCGGATATCTAATTTTTAAAGTGTTATATGTAATATTATGTTTTTTGAGTGTTATAGGTATAATTAAATTTTTCTTAGTAAAAATACACGCATTTTTTATTTAGATTATATCTAAATTCTTTTTTTTTATATACACACATTTATACGCGTACAGTTAAGTATTCGATTATATCTTACAATTAGTTAATTTGAAAATTTTTAAAGAATTATAAATTGTCGTAGTACATAATTGCAATTTGTATATTATAGATGGAGTTTGTTAATTGTGAAAAACTCGACGCATGCGCATAAATCGAAAATACTATTATCAGATAAACTTTTCTCGAACTTGAAGATTTAATAAAGAATCGTATTAGCCTCTTAATATATCCTTGGGAACGAAAGCAAAATCCTGCATCGCGATGAAATATGTTGTCGTAAAATAAGTTCTGTCATTCTGCACTCGGCCACAAAAATGTATCCGAGTGCTTTCTATTGATTGATTACTTACACGAGAATCTTTTTGTAGGATCATATATGAAAGATCATATATCACTCACAGTACTTTTTCTCCACGTTAGTATCTTCAAAGTAGAAGAGGATAATTAATTTAGGATCAATGAAAACGAGACAATTTGAATTTATATAGTCATAGTTATTAGTATAATCAAGATATGTATAAAAGGTATAAATAAGATTAATTTTTTGTATTATTGGCATTTTATTATATAAATATCAATATTTTATCAAATGCACTCGTTTGCTGTTATTAATATTATTAAGAAAAAAGCTTCACTAATTCAGATATAGATAAAATATTAGAAAAAATAATTAACCATCAAAATTTAATCAACCAGCACAACCAATCGAATTTTTCGCACATTTCAAGTTAAACCTTGTTATTTTTTTTTAAACAATTCTCTTCTTTATAAAAATAATAAGAATATTCTTATTCCAACTTATAAACTGAATTATTTTTGTTAAATGTGATAAATTTTGTAAAATAATTATCACGATCGTTACACGATCGAGAACACGAGAGATGGAGATAGAGAAAGGAGTGTAAGGTTGGTGGGGATTGATAGCGGGGGGCGGAAAATGTGTGTGTGTGTGTGCGGCGTTTCCACCCTTCGTCAGCTGTCCTGTTTGGAGCAGTCAGTGCGCGTTGTGGCTTCGCCACGTGCTTCTCGCGATCCTTACCTGCGATCCTTATCTTTACTTTGTCCAACCGAGACCACGCATCGGGATCATATTATAATTTCCACAATGAAAATATTTTCCAGAAACGGTTCGACCTAACGTACTTGATCGGGCTCGAAAATGTCAAGAACATCCTTGCTGTCATCGTGACTACGTGTCAAAAGCTTCAGAATGTCACGAAATGACACAAACACGTGCGCTCTTGGTAAGTTTTTAAAAAACTTGAGATATTAAGACTCATGGAAAATTTATTAGAACTTTGCTCAATCAATTCACTTTTGTGTCATATAAACACATAAAATAAAAAATTTATATTTATTCGTAATTTCATTTGTCGGCGATATCTGTTCAACCGATTCACGAAATTGATAGTATTTCAATAATTTTTAAACATTATTTTTAAAAATAAAGCATTATTTTAGAAATATCTTCTTTGTGTATCTTTCTCTAATAATATATGTACAAGTGACAAAAATTTTCTCTATATGCCTATTTTCCTTTTCTCTCCCCTTTCCTCTTCTCATTTCTTTATTTTATATGTACATATGTTACAAAAATTTGATGAAATTTTGAAACATCTAGTCAATTTTATGATAATAAGATTAGTTTTACTGGTATAAAAATATAATTAGCATTCTGTGTATGATTTAAATACCTATATTTAGATATATATATATATATATTGTTTTATATTATTTTATAATACATATTTTTAGATTTATATTTGTTTTACAAATTTTTTTATTAATATAATAACATTATGATTTTATTTTAATCAGTTGCTTGGCTTAAACAATGCTAAAATAAGATAATTTCCTGCATTTATGGCAAGCAATGTGACATGATTTTCAGTAATGTCATAATTATCGGTCAAGTGCTTTTGTCCAAGAACATAAGTCTTTTTTCTGCTTAACTTAAACGAACTTTGTTGACGGTCCTTTACTGTACCTTCTTTTTTTTTACTGTTTCGATTCTTTCGATCTATCTAGCCGCTGTCGCGTCTTTTTCTTCTGTCACCGAGAAGAAAAACGTTCTCATTCTTCATTGAGAATATTTACACGATTAATTTTGAATGCTTTTTGAATGCTTCAAAATTATACAAATATCAAACCTACAATTGTGTGTTGTTCGTGTCGAACTAAATAGTAATTTGATTTGGTTACTCATTTAGTATACAATCAAAAGACGAACATATCAGTAAAATGTAATGCTTTTTACGAAAATAATGTGATGCATTTTGCGGAATAAAATTTCAAACTGACTTAGGCAAACAGTCCCGTACAGAGAGTCGAATGAATATGGGAGACAGCGTGCCATGCTCAGCACGGAAAACTTTGCCAGCGAAGATAAAATGCCATTGGCTAAACCGATAAACATCAGAAAGCTTTAGTTACGTTGAAAAATGCGACGCTTCGAGCTTCGAGGCTTCGTTCGAGTGTGGTGAGAAAAATGCCGTAAAAAGTAACGCTTACGATAGTATCCTCGCTTCGACGGAAGCATCCGCACTTTGTTCGAGTATTTTCCGGTATTTGCCCGTCATATATTTATCGGTTCCCGACAGAAACGAAATCATCTATCCTTCGGCGATACGATGAGAAGACATTGAAATCGCAAACGAGTTTTGCTCAAGTATACACGGAGACGGTCATCTGTATACCTCGTTGGAAAACTTCATAAATCATATCGATACCAATCCGTCTCCTCTCCCTCTTTTCCTCCCCACAGGCAAAGAATCATGGCAAGAGGCGCGAGAATATGCCATCAGTCCATAATATCCTTGAGAAATATTATACTTATTCCAACGCGCAAAGATAGATTTATACTAGATTTATATGGCCGTCTTGAGATCAACCTTTTTTTTATCGATATCTTTCCTTCTCTTTTTTATTAAAAGTAAACATTTTTCAGAATAAATAATTATCAGTGACATAATTCATTTACAACATTATGCTCTGATAAAACTATTATTTTACAATTTTGAAGAAAAAAAGATATTAATTTGAAAGATTTATCTATCGATAGATAATACATCAGCTGAACTTTGCCCCGAAATGAAACATTTCTTTTTTTAACGGATAATAATGTGCCTTTGTTGCTTTTGTTGAGAAAATCTCGAGACAAATACATCTGACTATGATAAGATAATTTCAGAGTATAAGTGACTCTCATTGTTGCATTAACAGCAATAGACGTAATGTAACTTATAATAGGATGATTCGACATTTATCTATGCAATTTGCCGTAACAGGTAAATAATAAGTGCGCTATGTATTGAAAGGCTAAATGTCAACTATTACGATGACTGTTCTTTTAGATCATAGTAGTTAATAGTATTATTAATTTATTGGAGAGTTAAATCATAAACTATTAATGATGATCGTCCCTAGTATATAGACATTTGATAACGTATCCAAGTACTTACATAATTTAAAGCTGCAAAATCAAAAGTTAAGTGCTATGACCTCGTTTGTGTGATGTTCTCATCAAAATAAAATCGATTTGAAATTGGTTGAGTAATCTGTTGTTGAAGAATAACAGGTTGTAAAAGTGGTGGGAATGCTCTATATAAAATGTATAAGACTTTCTAGAACACACACAGGTGTATATTTCAAGCTGTCTTTACACGATTAAAGCGCTCAAAAATTTATCACTTAAAACAAGACAAGAAAATAAAAAATAAAATAAATTGATGTATACAGTCATCAAAAAAATTGTAGTGAAAGACTATATCGAAACGAGTGGAGAAAAAGAGGAAGGAAAATAAGGGCAGAAGGACATAGAATTGAAGGGTGGAAGGATGCGATTTTCTTTCTCAGTCTCTCGAATTTTCCAGGGTGCTGCCGCTGTTGCTGTCATTCGGCTCGCGAGCCCCCTCGACATCTTCCTCCTCGTGCGCTTCTTGATGAGCCGAGTCAAGCTCCGTGGACCCGTGATCCTCGTCATATTGCTGCCCATCGTTTCCGACTTCCTCGATCGAAGACTGTCGCGGCTGCACAGTTCGTTGCAGCATCTGCGGACTACGAGCTCGCGATGCTGATCTGCCCCTCGATTTCGCCCGCGTCTCTTTGCATCTCGGTTCCCGACACAATGGTTTACTCGCTAAAATAAATATCTACAGATTAAAAGGGGAGGGGGGGGGGGAGAAAAGAAACAAAATTGTTGCTAAGAATAACAACATAAAAGATCATATTTTCCGATAATATTTACAATTAATTTTTTATGGTGTTTAATGTAGTGTGCAGATATTAGCGCGGTTATATATATATCTCAAACTTGACATTACATCCTTTAAATTTAAAGATTTAATAATACAAGATTTTACACACGACTAACCTTTTTCATTCTTTTTGTTTTATATAAAAAATATAACAGAAAGAAAAGTAGTGTACAAAAGTCGAATTGGCACGATGCAATCTCTTAAGAATTAAAATCCCCGATAAAAATTCGAAAGCTGGTACGATATTATTAAAAATTCCATCTGGTATCAAAGAATCAGATATAAGTCATCTTAATTTACAGAGTATGTTTAAGGAAATTATCAAATAAAAAAATAGAGCGCATAATTTTTAATCTACCACTATAATTCTACTCTAGTGCGATATAAATTACATCGAGAGACGCGCTTCCGGTTCACGTCGCTTTCGCGATCGCTCTCATCGGAGAAGTCGGACTCGAGCTCTCGCTTGGATAATCTCGAACGTTTCGTTTGTCGATTGAATGGTACGGATGGCTCGTCGTCCTTTTCGTGCAAGATGTACCGTCCGATACATCTGTGTACATGTGACTGATCCTCGAACTCCTCGTCCTCGTACCTGCGCTTTCGCTGCTGTCGCTGTAAACATCAGAATTGTATCTCGTATGATTTGTCCAGCGAATAATCCTCGTTTGAATATGCAGCGTACAAAGGAAAAAATTGCAATAATTGTCATATTATTGCCGTTGTCTTAAGATAGGCTCTTATTACAATTCATCCCCACTTGAGGCTCATTTGGCTCAAAGTGTAATGGATATAATGCAACGCCGTAACATTTATACCACGGAAAACTGACACACACAGAGAGAGAGAATATAACAAATATATATTTAAATGAATATAATAGACACAATAAATGTTATTGTTAAGATAATCGCACCTTTCGATTTTGAACGGACGTATTGGATCGTCTAGGATACGGCGAGCGTCGCGCTCTCCTTCTTGCTTTACTACTATGATGTCTGCTGCTTCGTCGTCGTGACGTATTTCTTTTTCTATATTTATAAATATCAAGTAGAGAATCATAAGCTATCTATTTCAGACTTTTTTAGATAGCATTTTATCGTCATTTATTTTACCATTGTGACTCGATTCATAAAATTATAAACAAGAAAGCCCATCACTTTTGTAATATCTTTGTGAGATTTTAATAAGTTGAGGGGAAGAGAGCGCGGACATTTCACGTTATTCATCGTAGAGATAATACGCGGCATACTTGCGTTCCTGTGTTCGACGAGAAGAGGATTCCGTTTTGTCGATCGGCGCTTGTACGTCGGATTTCGACTTCTTCTCCTCAGTTGTTTTATCGTCATTAGTTGATTCTTTGCTGGCAGGTGGAGTAGAGACAGAAGCGGGATTCAGAGTAGCCAATGTTTTGTAACGACCACTCCTATGTCGTAAAAGTCCGGCGTTCACCGCGTGTTTTAGAGCTCGATGCACCTGCAATGCGTACCACCAAGCATATCATAAGAAAATATATATATCTAGATTATGTGAAATTTTATCCTTATTAATTAACGCATAGATTGCCAGAGAAGAACAACTCAAATCATAATGCGTATAACAGCGTACAATTATACAATTATATTTGTGTTACAAACCTGCAGTGTGAGGTTCTTGGGCGATACGTTGCTCTGCCGGATAAAACTGAGGACTTCGCGAGCCGATGAACCTCTAGTGTCGCCAAGATTCATCACTGCGTCTAGCACGCGAGCCATGAGTCGAGGATTCGACGGTCGAACCATCTTGAAATTTCACGATTCACAATGCACTTGACTAACGTTTCACTTTTAGATGATGAATTTAAATCTGATAAACTTTAAATTATTACATATGATACTGGATAAAGGATGATTCGTAGAAATATTAATATAATTAGAGTTTGATAATCGTAGATTTTAATTTTTATGTTTTCTAGTTATATACACCGTAAAATATTTACATTTTGTACAGATAAATATCGTGCATTTATTCACTTTTCTTTGTGTGTTTCCAATCGATTTATTACGGGATTACGCTTCAAATTTTTGATGCCGCTTTGAATTTCGAAACCAATACCACGTCTGTATGTATTATCTGACAAATGCTTGAAGTCAAAAAACATCCAATCGTTCTTTTTTGTGCAACAAACGGTCTTGATAAATCCGTCGTAAATGCGAACCGATCTTTCTTTCACGAGCATCACAGCGAATTTCGTTGGGACATGTCAGCATCCGCGTCGAAGTTGTCGCCGAAATATCCGTTGTCTGTTGTCTCCGCGCGATACTCGCTTCGTCTGTTCGACGATGCTTCTCTTTTCGGAATCCCCGAGTTTTTCATTTCGGGGCCTGTGTCTTAAGTAAATCGACATTCCAAGCATTCCGATGATTAGCTAAGAAAGCAACTGAGACACGCGCATTCGGTTTAATTTCAGGAATTGAGATTTATAATTTGAAATTGATATAATTCGACGAGAGGGTTCAAAGCTCTCGACTATTAAATTAATGATCTCTGCGTGTAATTGTGGAATATTTACCGGAAACGCGACAATCGACACGTATGCATTTTGCCGCCGTCTATAACGTATCGAAAATTGACATTGTCTCACCTCAACTTATAGCTTTGTAACGCAAAGTACTGTCATGGTACGTCAGAGTCGGGGATTTTCACGGTATCGTGGTCTCGAATTACGAATTAAACTTTAAGGAAACGCCTATTATCCTTTCTCGTTACCTACATGCGTATGTTAAACACCGTTTGACTTGTCTATTCTCTACCGCTGACAAGGTATGTTGCGCGCACACGATATATTCGTATTATAACGAAAATGATGTACAATAATACGCACGGTTTATATTATTATTTCTAAAACATGTACCATATATCTATCAAAAATCGTGGGTATCGATCTTGAAACTTTTTTCTTAAAGATTTTCCAAGGATTAAAAACAGTCGGCTTTTTTGAAAGAGTTAAAAATGAAAAAAAATGCGAAAGTATCAGTCATTTTTATCAGTGCTTTCATCTAACGTGTCATACTTTTACTTATAAGCATATTTTTAGAAGATAATCGTCCATATCATAATTTGGAAAACTCTCACGCCTTTTCAAGCCGCGTTGAATAACTAAAATCCTCGCTTCCGGTACACAGTATATACGAATAATCACGATGCTGATAATCAGACCGCTCTAGTCGCGAACGGTGCCCATCTTTCAAAGCGCATCCCCGTATTTACGTATGTAAGAATAGCTGTTTACGTTGCGGTGCGGTTCGTTCGTTCGCTTTGAAATGTACGTCGCTATTTTTGGCTACAAACTATTTTCGAGAGAACGAATGTACGTGCTACAGGCGGCGAATGTACGCATTTACCGCTAGGATTTACCAATTCGACACCTGTCTATCTACCATGCGTTATCGTGCTTCGACGCCCAAAACCGCAACAAAACGCAAAAGACATTTAAGAGACATCTAAAAACCATTTGAAAAGTTAGACCCTCTGCGTCCGTTAGACATTTGTATTATTTATATACGCATTATGAATTATTATTGTATTATAAAAAAGGTAGCGAGTAATAGAAATATGAAAACACAGAAAAAAATATATATTTAGCTACTTATATACTATTTAAATTTAAGCTGAATTTTTATTTTCTTTGGTTTAATTAGTTTGCAAAACGTACACAAATTATTATGTTTAAATAATAATTGCCGCATTTCTTGTATGATCGTTACAATTCGCCATATATTATAATTCTTCTCAAGTTATACAGTTTTTTTTTTGTTATTAATTGTTCCAAAGGCACTTGACAATCCGACATGGGCGCTTATTGAGCAGAACGTTTCATTTAATGATATCAATGATACACATACATTATTCTTCAGTAAATTTTTTTATAATATAAATCATATATGTATATGTGAGAAATACGTGTAAAGAGAGATTTGCTTCAACATATACTTTTGCCATCATTAACGTTGTGTCAATTTTTGTTGCAGCGCGAAATATCGAACGATCCCATTGTTAAATCAAATTGATGAGCGAATCTTCACTCGGAGAAAGCAAGGATTCGGCCTAGAACATTATGAAGCCAAGAGTCTTACTTGCTCTTGCCAACCTTATCACATCCTTTTTGTAAGTTCAATTTATAAAGTAGATCTCTCTATTTTTACGTTTCATCGTATGCATTTCAATGATGTCAATTATAAAATTTATTTAGTGCGAGATTTTTTTCATTTAAACTCGACGGCGTGGCGGCTCGTGAAACGATTTCTAAATTATACGGTTAATTACGCTTCGTTTAACAAGAGGCGACACGCGGCCTTAGTGCATAAATAAATCATATACTCGCTCATTGTTGTCATTGTACACGATTCGTATAATTGAAAGTACTATTTTTACATACATTGAAAACAAAGGCTACTTTCATTTAAACGGTTTTATCACGGAATACATGAATACAAGCTATAGCAAGTAGATATTGTTTCTCCGTTCAATTACAACGAGACTGATGCTCCAATTAATTACATATTAACGATAGATAATAATATAATATTACATCCCATCGAGAAAACAAGAACAAAGAGAAGACTGAATTATGTCAAATGGACAATCAATATTCTATAGATATACGCAATTATTACGAAATTATTATACATGACTTATTTGTTAATTATTTGATATACGATTCATTACATTGCCGTTTCTTATATACATTTGTTGATCCCTTTGATATCAAAGAATAATCGAATGTTCCAGAATAAAAATCCAATTAAGAATGTACTCCAGTATTAAACAATTAATAATAAATGCTATTAAAAGTATGCCAACATAAGAAAGAATACACAAGCTTTCTTTCTTTTAACAATATAAATCTAAACAATATGGACTAAATTTGGCCATGCAACGACGAGTATTGGAAAGAGAGAGTGGCTTTGTTTAATGCGCTTTTTAAGTATGATTCCGGTTTAATTTAGTTTTCTCTTGCACGTGAATTTCGGACGTTTTAATTGCATGGGCTGTATACAGATGCATACAAAGATATTCACAGATATTCACCAAGGATTCGGAACGCTGCCGCGGTCGAGTGAAAATAAACCGTGGCTTACCCCATACATACTTGTATATATATATATATATATATACATATATACGCGAGTAGTAATTGCCGCGTGGGCAATACGCGGATATAAGCGGCGTAACTTTATAGCCAACGACACCATCCCGACGCAGGCTCCTCAATTACGTGCGCGCGATCTCCGCCTCGCAGCATCCCGCTGCACGTTGGACGTGCAGCGGGATGC